CATTCAGCCATTTTACACTTCTTTTGTGAAATAAATCTTCTTGTCAAGAGGGCTGCCTTAGCTGAATAGCTGTTGCCAACTCTAAGTACATATGGGAGGTGATACTACAACATAGGGAGTAAAACTGAACTCTATTGAGAAGTTCATTGATGATGGTAGATATGTATTGGATCAAAAGTTGTTGAATTTGTGAGTTTGAAAATATATTTATTTTTGTTCTCAACATTAGTTCCATGGCTCTACCTGTCTTGTAACTTTATGTATTTAACTATTGGATGATATAGTTGTTGTATATGGTGGTATATAGTTGTTAAGAGTCAAATAATGTGCCATACTCCCATAGGAATAAAGCGATTAAGGTCATGTTCCTTTCTCTTTTGTAAAGATATAACTGATTGCTATAGTGAGTAATGGTGATTGTTGTTGATGGGTTCTTGGAGAAATGCATTATCCCTTTAAACTCTTTGCTGTTTTTTTTTTGTTTCCATATTATCCGTTTAGATCCAAATATTTTTTATCTGAGACATGTAGGAATTACTCTTCTACAATCTGAGCATCATTGAAAAGATAAACACTGCATCAGTTTGATTCCTTCTCCTCAATATTTATTTACATGTACTATTAGGAGTAATCAGTTTAGGTTGAGCCTTGGTTATAGACTATAGTTAATCCTCTAGAACAATAAGCGCTTCTATCTCTTAGAAAAGACTTGATTTTGAGGGATTTCAATTTTGATATCAAATAGGTCCCTTAGATGGTTCTTAACATGTCACCCGTGTTGCAAAAATTAGGCATTGTTTTACTTTTAACACAATATATTTTGATTAAATCGAGTTTCTTGCTATTTGTTCAATAATCAAAAACAATATTAAAAGAATAAGATTAAGTACATGCAAACAACAAACTATTTGTTTCTTTGTTTAATCATTTTGCAGAAGCGTAAGATTGATTTCATAATGAAATCATTAGCAAGAAATTTTGATATTTGGGTACTAAATCATACACTACGATTCTAATTTATGGAAACTTTGATATTCAGGTACTAAATCATACATTGGGGTTCAGATTTGGGGTCCAACATGTAGCTTCCGCATTTAGGAATGAACTTTATTTTCTTTATCATAATATATTTTTAGCCTGAGCAATCACAAATTTTCATTTATCACATTTAATTAAAGATTTAAAAGAAATTCTTACCAGTAGGTGGTAGAATTTTGCAGAAGCATAAGATTGATTTCATAATGAAATCATTAGCAAGAAATTTTGATATTTGGGTACTAAATCATACACTAGGATTCTAATTTATGGAAACTTTGATATTTGGGTACTAAATCATACATTGGGGTTCAGATTTGGGGTCCAACATGTACCTTCCGCATTTAGGAATGAACTTTATTTTCTTTGTCATAATATATTTTTAGCCTGAGCAATCACAAATTTTCATTTATCACATTTAATTAAAGATTTAAAAGAAATTCTTACCGGTAGGTGGTAGAAATGTAACATTGCATAATAATGTTGTTGAGTATGTACATTATAAAACATAAATCTTGTCCCTTTATGTATTTAACTATTAGATAATAGAGTTTTTGTACACGGTATGATGGTATGTTATAAGGAATCAAATAATGTGTGATACTCCCATGGGACTAAAGTTAGAAAAAGTGGTTTAAAAAGAAAATTGTGAAAAAATGACTACAAATGAAATATATATGACATGGGCAGAACAACCAATTTGCTTAGATCCTTAGAGACACCTCAATTATATTGCCACAACTATTGATTTTTTTTATATGGGTACATCTCTTACGATAAGTTGTTTTTAAATTGCAGGTTGCTATTGTAAGCACTATTTTCTCTTTCCTTTTGTGATTAAGGTCATGTTCTTTTTTCTTTTCTAAGAATATAACTGATTGCTATAGTGAGTAATGGCTATTGTTGATGGGTTCTTGGAGAAGTGCATTATCCCTTTGAACTCATTGTTGTTTTTGGTTTCCTTATTATCCTTTTGGATCCACATATTTTTATTTGAGACATGTAGGAAATTAGGAATTATTCTTCTACAATCTTGGGTGTCATCGAAAAAGATACACAATGCGTAAGTTTGATTCATTCTTTACAATATTTATTTACTTGTACTATTAGGAGTAAATAGTTTAGGTTGAGCCTTGGTTATAGACTATAGTTAATCCTCTGGAAGAATTAGATTTCTATCTCTTAGTAAGAACTTGATTTTGAGGGATTTCAATTTTGATATCAAATAGGTCCCTTAGTTGGTTCTTAGCGTGTCACCTGTGTTGCAAAAGTTAGACCTTGTTTTACTTTTAACACGGTCTATTTTGATTGAATCGAGTTTGTTGTTATTTGTTCATAAATCATAAAGCAATATTAAAAAATAAGATTAAGTACATGCAAACAATAAACTATTTGTTTCTTTTGTTAAATCAGTTTGATAAACATAAGATTGACTTCATAATGGAATCCTTAGCAAGAAACTTTGATATTTGGGTATTAATTTAAAGGGAAAATGGTCAATTAAGCTATATGATATGTTAAACAACATGATGCTGTTGTATGACAATTTTCTGTGAGACTTTTTGTAAAAGTCTATATATCTCTAGCATAACTCAGTCAGAAAACAAATATTTTTTTTCAGGTTTTAAAAACAATTAGACATGAAATGTAAAGTAAAATCATAGACTCTTTGATGTAAGGAAAGAAAGCTAAAGTAGTCTGCTTCACAGATCATTTACAATATAATGCATAATTCTATAATTATTTTATATCTTATTGTAAATGATTTCTTCCACGACAATTATAATGTGCAAATAATGAAAAAACACAATAAGGATATATATTGTATATAATAAAATGGTACAAAAAACAAATATGGAATGAGTAAAAATACAAAATGAGTAAATAATTTATATTTGAAATCTATAAAGACCATAAGCATAAAAGCATTAGTAGAACACAAATTTAATGAAGTTCAAACATATTACTATCTCTTACTAATTAAAATAGAAAAAATGATAGTTGAAAAATTGAAATTAAGACCCCACTCTTAATAGCTTTTAACTGTTGGACACGGATATATAGATACACTACAAAAGTATATGTGATTGACACGGATTTGGTACGTATTTACCGATGATTTCGTGTCAAATAGTTCGTGTAAATTTTGGCGAATCCCTGCAAATCCCGTATTCTGATAGATATCTTAGGAGAGAAATGAGAATAAATATTTGCCATTGGATTCATCCAATTCTGATATTACTCACGTGTCTAGTCATTGGGAAAATTTGACATTTCAATTTTTTTGCATGCTTACGTTATAGTTGCAGGAGAGTTTCATTCCTAATTTAAACATGCATTAAATTATATTCCTTATGTATTAGTGTATTACACTCCCGAAAATTTATTCCTTAATGAGCTTTTATTCCATCTAAGGTATATGCTAAATTACTTTGTCTTCCACCTTCAGCTTCATGGCCTTCACCTCTGTCATGTCAATCCATGTAACACCTGTTGATGTCATCATGAGTATTCTCGGTGTCGCCAAAACGGGTCTTTTTCATGCACGAGGCAGTCGCGAAGCAACTCTCCTTCGTGAAACCACGTCGCAGTTTATCTTGTGTATGCCACCAAATATGATCTTCACCTAACGTTGTGATTGTGCTATGTATAAGTTGAACAACCAGTGTGCATCATGTATTGTGCATTATTATAACCGAAAATGTGTAGAATTAGCTAAATATAATTGCAATGAAAAATGTTAAACGTGCAATAGAAAATTAAAAACATACTAAAAACACCCATTGTGCATCATCCAAGAGCATTTATGTGCATCGCACAAGAGCATTTAGCTGCATCACACAAAAGTGCACCATACTCCAACCGTTATTACATTAGTAACATATGTACACTTATCTGATCATTAAAATGCACTTTAAAAATAGGTGATAGCTATAAATGGAAGCTAATTAATTATTCAATTTGGTCAGGAAGTCGGGGGCATTTATTTGCCTATAGAATGATCCAAATTTTTTCGAGTTGTTGCCCACTTGTGCCAACCATTTGGGTTTCTTTTTACTATTGACCCTTTACTAATAATTATTAGACATTAATTCCTTTACTAACTCTACCATTCCAGCCATAATTAATGGAATGCAGGTCATCCAGTTTGTTAGATCAAAGACTATATTTAATTCTTTTTCCTCTCCTAATACTCCTTTCTCACTAGAACCACACCCTATATATAAACAAAAAGATATGTAAATATATACATACAAATTTTAGTTCAAGTGAGAAATGCATCTAATGAGAGAAATGAGAATGAATCTCAGTCATTAGATTTATGATATATTTTACACTAAAAATAGCTAAATATTGCAGTAAAATTTAAATTTTGCAATGTTGCATAAAATCTATTTCATATTGCACTAAAATTTGACGATGTTACACCAAAACAGTTTCATGTTGCACTAGACAAATGTAATACGGGGTTTTTACAAGTATTTACAAAATGCCACCGTGCTAGATTACATATTTTAGTGCAACATGAAGTAATTTTTACTGCAATTTTGTCGAAGCCAATGATTGAGATTCATTCTCATTTCTAACCTAAAGGCTTCTTTTTATTTGAACGTCATGTTTCAAATATTTTTTCAAACTTCTTATTACATACATACTCTCCTCGTTCCTAAAAATGCTTCCCGGTTTGACCCGAACCGCTTTTTAATGCAAGGCTAAAAAGCCTTTGACTTTCCAATAACACCCTTGGGTGCTTGGCCGAAAATGGGAGGGGGTAAAAAAATTACTCCATACAATTGATTAAAGATAGTGAGATTTGATAGATGTGATAAAAAAAAGGTGAATAGTACAACACCCAAATAATCCATTCGAATACACCTTCCCTCCTATTTTAGAGGATGTTTCAAATTTTCCCAATACAAATACTCACATTTCCCTATTCTTTTTCCCAATCTCCCATTATAGACACTACACACACACTGTACACACACTGCACTACACAATGCACACACACACACACACACAATAAATGACAAAAGCACTTCATTTTCCCTAAATGGCAGCTTCCATAAATGTGGAATCCCCTTCACCTTCCATTAATGCTCCTCTTTCATCTTCTTCATCAACCAACATGCACACAACAATAAATGAGGGACAATCACAAGAAGCAATCAATAACAATAAAAGTAGGAGACTGTCTAATATGGAAAGGGACACAATAGTTGATGAAATCCTACTCGGTTAAAAAGAGAGACATTTTTGAGGAGTTGGTAGCTCAGAAAGGTGTTTTAACTAAACTAGCAACTCAACTTCAAGTTTCCAGAAGATCAATTTTCAGCATATGAGCCACAGCCAAATAACAACTCAAGAAAGGGGAGGTGGTGGATGTAAGAAGTAGGTGGGCTGGTAATTCAGGCAAGAAAAGGATTGATGTGGATATAAGCTCCATATTTGAAATTCCACTATATAAAATGACCAATATGAGGGCACTAGTTGTTGCCACAAGCATTCCAAAGACAACTTTGCACAGATGTTTAGAAAAAGGTATACTTAGAAGTCACACAAATGCTATTAAGACATTCTTAACAGATGCAAACAAACTGACCAGACTACAGTTCTGTTACAAGCAAGTTGACAATTCAAATCCATGTAAGCCAACATTCTAGAATTTTCAAAATGTGATACACATTGATGAAAAATGGTTTTTCATGTCTAAAACTTCACAAAGATTCTACATGGGTTTGGAAGAGCAGGATCCTCATAGGGTGTGCAAGTCAAAGAGGTTCATAACTAAGGTTATGTCTCGGGAGTAGTAGGCAGACCTCTTTTTTCAGACACTGGTGAAGTACTTTGGGATGGTAAAATAGGCATCTTTTCATTCATTCAAAAGGTAGTAGCTAAAAGGAGAAGCAAAAATAAAGATGCAAGAGTTATAGAAACAAAACTTATAGTTAGCATCATGAAGGAGGTGTTCAAAGACATGTTAATCAACAATGTGTTACCATCAATTAAGGCTAAGTGGCCAGAATGCTTAACCAAGGATATTGTAATCCAACAGGATAATGCATAGCCACACATTTTAGGCTAAGATGCAGATTACATGGCCGCATCCCAAGGAGATGGATTCAATATAAGCCTGACTAACCAACCCCCTAATTTCCCAGATCTTAACATACTAGACCTTGGATTCTTCAGGGCAATACAATCATTGAAAAATCAAAATGCACCCAGAAATGTTGATGAACTATTACATGCAGTTAATGAAGCTTTCTATCAGCTTTAACTGCATGTACTGGTCAGACCAATATGGTCATCACAACACCCATGCAAGCATTGGTCAGACCTATACGGTTATCACAACACCCATACAAGCATTTGTCAGACCTATATGTATGGTCATCACAACACCAAGCATAGGTTAGGCCCATATGGTCATTACAGCACCCATACAACCATTGCTCAGACCTATATGGGCATCACAACACCCATACAACCATTGCTCAGACCTATATGATTATCACAGCACCCATACACCAACTTCACTAAGCCCATATGGTCATCGCAATTGTCTTACACAGTGGTCATCAAACATTCCTTAACCAGCCCACATATTCATCATTACCAATCAAACATCACACATCTCACATTCCTTAACCAGCCCACATTTTCATCATTACCAACAATTTCAGAAAAACAAACACCATATTTTCATCATTGTTTCCACAAAACAAACACTGCACTACACACAACACATATATGTAAGCTAAGGCAGATAGGCAAGTGCACAACAATAGCCATACACGATGTCACACAAACAACATAGAGGAGTCAAACATATGAAAAGAGATTAAGAAAGAAACTACCTTGATTGAGAAAGAACTCATACATCCACGTCCCACATCCTAGATTCCCAGCCGTGTAGGATGATTTTTAAGAAGGCCTCTAGACGAGGATTTGTGCGTAGAGGGTGCATTTCCACCTCTTTCCTTTTTTTTTTATCCTTGTGCTTTTCACTGTCCGGAACCACAACCTCCTTGACCCGTTGACCATCCTCCTCCTCTTCACTGTCCGAAACCATTAGCTCCATCGTACCTTGACCGTCGTCCTCATCCAACGCCTCTTCGCTGTCTGGAACCAGAAGGTCCACTAGAGCTTGACCGTCATCAACATTGAACTCCACTTTGGTGTCCGGAACCACAAGGTCCATCACACCTTGACCATATTCATCGCATGGCTCGAATTCACTATCCTGCACCATCGGCACGCCCATGCAAGCACATCATGGACCTAGATCTTCAAAGCTTGATTCTAGATCCATGGAGGTTGGATGTTAGGTTTAGGATTTCAATTAAGGATAGATGATTAGATCAACATATAAGCTAGGGTTGTATTGTATTTGAGATCAGAGAAGGAGGGGAGGCGATGCATCAGAAAGGGAAGGATGAGAGTAGGAGGAGAGGCGGCGCATTGGAAGTGTGAGAGACAGAGAGGGGGGTGAGATAATGCGAGAGTGAATGAACCGAACAAAAGTGGGAAAGAGAGTAAGGGGGGAGGGTAATTATCTAAAGGGGTAAAATAGGATTTCTAGTAGTAGAAACTTTCCTTTTTTAGTAAGTGGGAATTATTTTTTAGGAACAGAGCTGAGGGAGTATATATCTTTCCGGTTCTAGCTTCGATCCTTTGAAGCAAGGGAGGAGAAAAAATAAAAAGCATGAGGATTTCGGTGGGAAAATGAAGGTCAAAGAAGAGAAACAATAAGAGATTGAAGCGGTAAGAAGAAAAAAGGTGTACATCCATTGTTGTTGACTAGGTACAAATGAGAACCATCTGGATCAAACAAGCAAAAGGTTGGCTAATCAAGATGTTACCGAGTAATATTTTAACATAAAAATAATTTTTATTTTTAACTCTTTAATTTTTTTTTTCAATTTCAAAATTTAAATTTATATTTTATTTGTGTCTTTTAAATTTATTTTATTTATTTAAAGTCAATTTGGGTAAAATTGCTCCTTTATAGGAACATTAAAGGTGTTTTTGCACTTCTTAGAAGTGTTACAGAGGTATGTCTGCACTTCAACATATGTGCACATTTCCACTAATAAAAATAAGTAAGATTGAATTGACTTTTTGGCTGAATTAGCTGGAACTATTGCCGAGTAAAACTAAATTCACATATACATTTTCCTTTATTTTATTAATAAAATATATTTCAAACACAATTTTTCACAATTTACAAATTCAGTCATTTCACTCGGATTTTTTCTGATTTCAACCATTTCAACTGATTAAAAAAATATGTTTTCAAAAGTCAAATTCATCAACATATTCGTTCATTCATAATTGCAATGAGAGTAGTTTCGGATGGGTCCGAGGGAAGAAAAAAATTAATTCTAGAGAAGATTTATTTGATGCAAAACTCAAATGCGGAGTAACAAAACGAAAAATGAATACATAATTACATCTATATCTAATAGACCAGTAGACCACGAGACTTTAGCAATATAGTAACAAAAAAATGACGCACATTCAGACTATGGGTCGAACAATTAACTAGAATGATGTAAATTGATTTTAATCACAAGTTGACCCTTAGCGAGCAATGATTTGTAGAGGCATATGCATTTTTACACAATAGACTCTCATTGTAGTTGTCGTGGTTTGATCTCAAAACTTACATTTTATGACACCCTTATTTACCCGTTGAGTTGTGCCCGCGCAATACAATAACAAAATAACATCGAACTGTATAGGCATTCGTCGGCCAAAATATGCCGTTGCGGCGAAGATATGTATAGGAATTTCAACTTTTTTAAGCATAACAGGAAATAATCGCGAGGAAAATGATTGGAAAACATTTCTTCTTGCATGTATTTTTCAAAAGTTGCCAATTTGGTCAAAAACAACCGCGGCTATTTCCACACCAGAGACGACTTGTCACTTGTGTAACTAAATAAAATAATAATAATTGGCAGTAATTCATCAATTACTCTCTATTTTAATGATTTCAAGACGAAATGGGTCCTGACTTGCTGCTCATTTCATGAAGTTGTTTCTCATCACTCCACCAATTTATTCCAGTCATCAAATGAACTAGGTGAGTTCCAATCCAATTTGTTGTAAACTTGTAATTATTTAATCAAACAATACCAAGAATTCTTCGCACCGATCACCTTATTGGCTTAGTTGGACGACTAAGCTATGTATTGATTTTTACTCATCAAACTAATTTGTTGTTCATCCCATTCCACCAGGCCAGTATTATATTCCTCCAATCCTCCCCTTCTTATTTACAAAAGATTCCGGGATTGACACGAATTTGGCATAGATTTGTCGATGATTTCGTGTCAAACAGCTCGTGTCAAATGGTTTTTGGCATGAATTCAGTATATCCCTGTCAAAATCTCTGTCAAATTTAGAAAATCCCTGCCAAAAATAGCTTGTTCTTTCTTATGATTGAATCTTGTATGTTTTTTATTGTATGATTGTGTATTTACGTTAAGTTGGAAGGTGGATCTGATGCATAAATTTAACGTCTTTGGAAACTAAATCAACTCAATTAAATGAATGAAAAATGTAATACAAATATACATCAGTGACGACATTTGTATTTTAAATACAACTCCCGCACGGGTAGTTCAGTTGGTTGAGTGGTGAGAAACTTGGAAGAATGATCAAGGATTGAAACCCACAGCGACCGTGTAGAAGTTACAGCACTTGCGTGCTGGGCTGGACCTCTGGCGCGCACGGGTATAAGGTCTACCACTATTGGACCGACTGAGTCACTGTGACTTACAACCTCCCAAAAGTCTTGTTAGGTCGGGGCGTGGAGAGCCTTGGGATTGGAGATTCAACTTTTGGAAGAATGAATACAACTCACATGGTCAGGTTGTTACTGTGCCCATTCTTAAGAAACTTGTACTTTTAGAGTTTTAGGTAAAAATTGCATCATATTCCGTATATGTTTTCAAGGGAAACGATACATCACACCATTCTCCATCAAAATGCACAGCTTTTGTTTGTTGCGCACATACGAGTTGATGCGTATGAGAACATAGCGTTTGTATGTGGGTCAATATAAATTATAGAAATTGCACAATATAGAATCGAAACATACATAAGGTTCAGAAATATACTACGTACTAAGTTTGTTTTGTATCTCAAATAGAACATATTTATTTTTATTGAAAAAATAAGTTATATAGAAACTTTTCAGAATATGTGTGAACAGGTTCTATCTTAGAAATAACATAATGATAGTTATATACTTGTATGATGTGGTAGTGATTTGAGTATAATAAAGTGAAACATTTTGAATCTTATACGTCTTCCCGAAAAAAGAAATATGACATTTATTTTGAAATAACTTCGAATGAAAAGTAAGACGTGTAACATAGGATGAAGGGAGTATTACGCAGAACTGTGGAACAAAAGAATAAAAATTATGTAGTAGTAAAGTACAATTGTGTTGTTACAATGGAATTTTTTGAACAAAATACATTCAAAATTGTTTGCATCGAGTTTTCATCTTTTGGAAGAGATCCATTATAGTTTTAACATTATATTCTCTCTGTTCCGCTAAGATTGTCCTTTTTTTGAGAAATCCTATCATCAAAATTGTCTCATAGCAAATTTCGTAAAGTCTATGTGGCTCTAAACTATTTTTACTTTATTAATTCACTTTTTAGTAAGGTAGTATTTCACTATCTACAATAATATATTATTTACAATTAAAATTTTATTGATTAAATGACATTTTCTTAAAAAAATAGGCTCTAATAGATGAATAACTATTTCACTAAGTCATCAATTAAATTAAATTTATAGATGTATTCTAATAACAATAATATAATTAATAACATCAAACTTAAGTAACATACTCATTAAAAACAAGTAACATACGACTTTAAAGTTTAACAACTAAACAACTGAGACGCCACGTCCTGTACTAACCCAATGATGAATGTAATGTAACTCATCAGGGCAACGTCTTCTTTCCTATTCAGCCCTAAATCATCAAACTTGAACTAAATCAATCGTAAGTACAGTGTGTCCTCCGGTTTATGTGATTTCGAAATGTGAATTTAATATTTACAACTTTAAGGCGGTTGATGGATTAATGAGTTATTGGGGACAAATACTTAGATTTTAATATTTACTAATAAATTACATGGATTAGTAGAGTTTTATTTGGCCGGGACAGCTGCCCCATAGTAATGTTATTACTTAGTAGATCGGCCCCTGGCCACAACACTATACACTCAAATATTCTTAGTTGAATGGTAGTAACTATCACATTTTAATTGAACTGAAATACAAATATATTCACACAAACAACTTTAACTTTCTTTCCATATACGGAGTATGATTTTGTAAGGCCATTTTACCGTGTTCTGAATCATTGTTTGATGATTTAATAGCATTTTTGGAGTAATTACTTAAATTATATTTTAATTATTCATATTAATTAATAATTACAATAATCAGGGACTCCCAAGCACACGAAATAAAAAAAAATAGAAGAAATAAAGGCTTGTTATTCAACAGTATAACACGACTTAGATATTCGTGTCAACCAATAGAGCTATCTAATTTGATTCCGCTGGATTAAAAATAGAGAGAAATCGCGGATATTTCAACAAAGCGGACATTCCAAAATAACGTGTCCTCGTACATCTTTCTTATTGGTCATGAATCTCCTTTTATTTTGTTTAATTTTATTCATATTTTAAATTATTCATACTCCGTATATTTCAAATAAATAATTAAAATTATCATGAAAGAGTTAGTTTCATCACGAGCTGAGTCAACAATTAAATTGAAAGGATTGAGTTGATAATCAATCTTGTAATTAAAATGTAATTTGACACATCTCTACAGCGCTCTAATGATCGATGATTATAGGCGAGTACTCAAATTAAACAAACCGAAGTCACTGATTATGAAAAAGTAGTTTACCCAATATTTTACTTTTTTTGGATAGGCATATATATGGTCACTTAGTTATGAACCAATTGTATTTTTAACTTAATGACCCCTATTTTAGTTAAGGATTATAAAAGGAGAGTAATTGCTAAATAATACTCCCTCCGTTTCGCAAAGAAAGTCACGGTTTGACTTCTCTGGGATTAAGGAAATAAATTAACTTTACTGTAGAAAACACTATTTAGACACTGTTTGACACTGTTTAGACACTGTTTGGCACTGTTTGGTACTGTTTTGAAGTAGATTTCTTTGTCAAATAAGGAAATAAGAGAAGTGTGCTGACTTTGTTTTTGAAACATCCAAAAAAAGAAAGTGTGACTTTGTTTGCGAAACGGAGGGAGTATAAATATGGCGGCGGAGGTTATTTTTAATTTAATGATCGCTATTTTAGTTAGGGATTATTTATAAGTACCACCTCCGAACGACTAACATTGAGACATGAATAAGTGTTGCTTGGACTGTTTTCAGTCCCAGACCAGACCAAACCAGATCAGACCAGACATAAACAGACTAGACCAGACTAGCAAATTAAAGTCCAAGTAAAAACATCCTTATTATGGAAAAGGCGTTTATGTAGTTGATATTAAATTCATCGATAAAGTAAGAATAAAACCAGAGTGATTTAGAGTCACACATATTTAATTACCAAATTTGATATGCATGAGATAATCGCAGTAGGACGGATCGAAAAGGAAAGATGAAACAATCTTAACGAGACGAAGGGAGTAATTAATAGTTGTTTAAGAAAAAATGACTAATTAGATTTCCCAAATTTTAATTGAACAAAAACAGAAGCACTTTTAAAAAGTTTTAAAATAAGAGAATGAAGGTGTTTGGAAAATGACATTTCAGCAAAAATAGTAATTTAACCCTATTTAACATTTTTAATACGGAGTATATGAAAATGTTGTTTGAATTGCTAAATATATTTTTGGCCCTACGTAGCTTATAGCACAACAATATATATACGGAGTATAGGAAAATAAAAAGAATTAACTAATAATTAACTAATAATAACTCAGAAATTATAGGCCATCAAAGAATCACACGAACGGAAAATCCGTATAATCAAAGCTCGTGTTCATTGTGTTGCCATTTTCAATTAATAATAAAATCATTAAAGCACATCCCTTGTGTTAAAATCATTAAAATTTTATGTTCATCATACTTGGTATGTGTAAGTAACATATGTTTATGTATATATGATGAAATCGTTTTGAAGTGATAAGTGTGAGAGGAATTGAAGAATGCAGCAACAACTATGGGGGTTCTGTGTAATTGCCTTATCGCTGGTGCTGGTCAATGCGCAGGAAGATCTCTTTGTTGACATTACCATTCTAGAAAGTGCGGTGAAAAAAGGAGCAGGTAATTAAAACATTTTTATTTATTTTACCATTGATGAAGTGGGACAACTAAGGGATTTTCCTAGAAAGTGTTATAAAAAAGATGAATTTTTTTTGTCAGAAATGTGATAAGTCAGAAATTAGCCTGATTTTAATTATAGTTTTGTGAGAAGTTTTTTTATGGAAGTTATGAATTAAATTAAAGTTGCACACTTTATATATACATAATTTAAAACAATTATGCTTGCAGTTTGTTTGGATGGGAGCCCACCAGCATATCATCTTCATAGAGGCTGTGGTAGTGGCATCAACAATTGGTTAATTCAATTAGAGGTTAATTTTATTTTATTTTTACTTTGGGCGCGTTTGGTATTTAGTGGTTAGCGGGTTGTCCATAGCGGATTCAGTCAGCGAGTTTGACTATCGGAATAAGTTGACAGGTTGTCTGAAAATGTTTGGTAATTTAACTGTTTGACCATAAAATTAGTACAAAACACAATATTTCAAAACGATAACTCGAAACTCTCATATTTGTAGCGTTTCCATTTCAACATTTTCTTCCAAAAACGCCAGTGTCGAACAGCTACTACTTACCAAACATTTTTTTCATTTATTGAAAACGCTGAAAGTGGTCAAACCGTCATTTTTCGGCTGAAACGCCATTTACCAAACACCCCCTTTATCTCAAGCGTTTTCATTTTAAAGGAGCCTCATTCGATCTCTTAGAAATGCTAAATAGAAAACAAGTTATGTTCTTCTTCTGTCCCGTAGAGAAGTTCTCACACGATTTACGATGTTTGATTAATATAAATTAAACCGATCTCTGTCTGTAAATAGATTTTTTTAATAAATAAAATTTACATGTTTGGAATTATAAAATCGCAAACAAAACTCCAATTTAGTTGAAAGTGTTTTGTCACTAAAACAAGGCAATGAATTGGAATTTTCCTCATATAATTTTGATGGAATTGGTATGACAGTCCAACACACTATATATGATTCTCTAACACAAATTGTTGCATTTGTTTTATACAGGGGGGAGGATGGTGCGAAAACGTTACAACTTGCATGTTTCGAAAGAGAACCCGTTTAGGATCCTCCAAATATATGAATTTAACTCTAGCTTTTTCAGGAATTTTACACAACAACCCTCATTTTAACCCAGGTTACAATTAATTACTACTAGTAATACGCCAAACTAACATTAATATCGTCAACGATTCATTTAAATTCCTTGATTATATTATTATAACTATTTACTATTATTACATTATAAATTATTAAATATTATCATTATAACTTAATTAATGTAGTTTTCATTGATATTGTTTGCTACTTGTAGATTTTTTCAACTGGAACAAAGTGAAAGTTAGATATTGCGATGGTGCGTCTTTTACCGGGAACGCCCAGTTTGTGGATCGGGTAAAAAACCTAGCTAATACTCCATTTATGACTCTAGCTAAGTCATGTTATTTTATTCGTATTGGTTATATTAATGAAATTGGGCTATTTATGAGTAAAAATAGTGTATTTTCTTAAATAAGAACATTTTATTCTTTCTTAAATAGGAATGATTACGCCATATAATTAATACCTAGGTGTGTAACAAATTTTCAATTTTGAATGTCCACACTAGGTTTTATATTACTTCGTATGTTAGTAATACTTCCATATTGATGACTGATAATGAGATAATATGACGATACAATTTTCCACGTCCCATTTTACTTGTCCTATTTTCCTTTTTGGTTTGTTCCAAAATTAAATGTCTCATTTCCTCTTTTGGAAAGAATTATGTGGCCTACAACATTTGATTCTATTATACTCAAATCTCAATCACAAATTTTACTTTTTCAAACAGTTTCTTGATAATAGAGTGTCAAGTCATAGTGAGACACATAAAATGGGACGGATGTAGTACAATATATCACGAAACTTAGCATTCATATTTATCAGGGTCGTGTAATGAATTTGGAGGCCGTGGTTCCAAATGCAAAATTGAGAGCCCGTTTGGCAGCACTATTTTCGGCTTATCAGCCTTATCAGCCAACTTTTTCACCAAACACGTAACCTTACTTTTTCACCAAAAAAGTAAGGTTGGAGTTACTTTTCTGGCTGTATTGAATGAAGTTACTGTAGATGACCATTTTATCTATTTTTACATATAATGTTTTCTTTATTTTATTAATAAAATATATTTTATTTTATTTTCCTTAAATCAGCAGAATCAGCCAATGCAGCCACTTCGGCCAGAACTTCATAAATTTCAGCAGAATCAGCCAAAACAACCGATTTTCATGCTACCAAACGGGCTCTGATGAGGCTCCATATATGGAGTATGAAAAAAACAAAACCACATGTAATAACACAAACTGTGGTTTTATCCAACTGTTCATATAGAAAAAAGACATGATTTAAAATAACTACTAGTACATATTAATATTATACTCCGTACAATATAACTATATTATTATACTAATATTAAATAAATTGGGGGCCCCAATTTTGGTGAGCCCTTTTCCAGATGGCATTTTGAACTTGCCAAAAAACGGCCCTGATATTTATCCACCTTATTTTTTACTCTCTTGGGAAATATCCGGTTAAATTAGTATTGTTAGTCAAATTGTATCTTTGTAATATTATTTTCCCTAATAATTAAACATCATAGTTCATTTCATGATATATTTCCTCATGTATTGATGTATATCCAAGTATTCAATCTTGGCTCCTTAAAATTTATTTTATTGAGGGAAGAGGCTAGTACTTCCTCATTTATTTATGATATTTATCATTACACAACATTTATATATTTTAATTCAAGCACTGATGATAGTGTTTGTCCATATATGCATATCCTCATTTTCCAGGAGACCAATCTTCATTTCCGAGGAGCTAGGATTTTCCGGGCTATAATGGATGACTTGTTAGCGAATGGGATGGACAAAGCCGAAAATGTAACTTTTATTTATTTGTTTGTTTGTTCGTTCATTTATTCAATGGTGAATCTAATAATGGTTAATAATGTATCCATGCATATATGAATCATCCTCCGATATTAAAAATTGTGCGAATTCAATAGAAATGGAACATAGAGAATGTTCTAAAATGAGAGTAACTATATATTGTATTTATAAAATAGTTCAAATAAAAGAACAATAAATGACCGAGAAGATTTTTTAATAATCATTTCCTTTTCATTTCGAACTACTACGGGGTAAATCCATTTCAGGCAAAGTATGTATTAAAAAAGTATTATACTCCGTATGATTCAAGGCTATTTTATTTGAATTAAAAATAGTGCATTGAAGGGGCGGCTAAGAAATGAATCCACTAATTAATATTGCATGCATGCCTTGGCACGTAGGCAATTCTGTCTGGATGCTCAGCTGGAGGATTGGCATCAATTCTGCATTGCGATAAATTCAGAAAATTATTTCCAAGGGAGGCTCGAGTAAAATGCTTCTCAGATGCAGGTTTCTTTATTAATGTGTAAGATTTCAGTCTTGGCTTGGCTTGGCTTGGCTTGGTAGGAACCATTACTAGCGTCAAGAGAAGTTAAGGCCTCTTTACTGATATTTTCCAGTTTTCCAGAAAATGGAAAACTGTAAAACAGGAAACGTGTTTACCAAAGAAAATTGCTGGAAAATTGTAGAAAGGAAAACAGAAAAACGTGTTTACCAAATTGTTTTCCAAAACGAAAAAAATGAAACATGTCTCACTTTTCCTTAATGATTTGGATAAGTGACTTTTACTAGTTTTCCAAATTTGGAAAACGCAGATGCTACAGTGCTGATGCAATGAATTTTCATACTTACACCTAGTGGTGGGTCCGGCCCCGCTCCGATGTCGATTCCATTCCGTTACATCCATTCTCGTACCTTCCCCTTTACCCCTACCCTACCTACCCTACCCCCACCCCGCGTACCCCTTTTCCCTACAATGACCCTACCCCACCCCCTACCACATGCCCCTACCTTGGCCCCACCTCCGACCCACCCTACCCTACCCTACCCCCACCAGTCGTATATTACCCTTACCCCTACCTCACCTCTTACCACATGCCCCCTACCTCGGCCCCACCCTCCCACCCTACCCTTCCCTTACCTCGGCTCCACCCTGATCCTTGCCCCACCCTACCGCCATCCTACCCCAACTCCCTACCCTACCCCTACCTTACCCAACACCCACTACCCCCACCCTAACCCCGGCCTAACCACGACCCTAACCCACCCACTACAACACCCAACCCCCCTAGATCTTACCACCCCACCCTCGACCATACCCCACCCCGACCCCGACCTCGACGAGTAGGTATGGGTGGGTATGAAGGGTTATAGGGGAGTATGGGTAGAGTGTAAAATAGTGGTAAGGGTAGGGGTAGGGGTCAAGAGTGTGGAATTGGGTATAGGGTGAAGGGTGGGGGTACGAGGTATAGGGGCGGGGTAAGGGTTGGAGGTATGGGTACATGTACGAGGTGATCGACCCACATATTATATTATATATTTGTGTTTATGAATGTTTGTGTGTATATATATGTATAGGGTTATTTTGGACATTTTAATGTTAAACGGTGTTTTAAACCTTTTGAAGTAAACATGATCTTACAACATTGTTTATTTTATACGCCGCTTATTAACGCAGGTCTTAATAAGCACCATTTAGTAACCCGTGAAGTAAATGTGTCCTCAGTCTTATGGATGATCACAGAACTGGGTAAAAAAATTGATAAACATGTTTTCACATGCATTTGAAAATGGAAAACTAAAAAATAGAAACAAAAAATTGGAGATAGAAAAACTAAAAAATAAAAACAGAAAACTGGAGAACGAAAAACAGAAGTAGAAAACAGGAAAATATCTCTGTTAGTAAACAGGCCCTAACATTTTGTAAATTTAACTAAACATACCTAGTATTCCTATTTCCTACTAAAATCTTTTTTCAAGTATGATCCATATTTTTTTAGTTGAAAAATATGAACCATTCAATCTTAGGAAAACAATTATTATTATTTGTTTAGAAGTTTGAATTGAATCCTATTTTTTTTAGAAAATAAAGGTGTTCTTATTTGTATACTTGTATGCCAATAGCTAGAAGTTTTACTTTGATATGAAAAAAGATCATTTTAAATACGGAGTATAAGTTATAGAATAACTATCTAATTCACTTTTAGCATAAAGCTATAACTTGTTGTATCCTAGATTTATCCTATGTTTTTACCATGCATCAGAAAGTGCGATGGTATTTTTGCAAGTGAATTGATTTCCCCTCTACCAATTTGAACTATCAATTACCTTGATTAGAAATGCGCACTATCATCAACCGAACTTTACATAGTTAACATCATTCACATTTCTCACCCAAATTATCGTTCTCGATCAATTAGGTGTGGATACATTCCGGGGGCCGGGTCCAGCCTGATCCAGAATCGGGTCCTGTACTATTTGAATTGGACTCGGACTGGGTCAACTTTTGGGTGCCTGGACTTAAGATCGGCCCTGTCCGGTAGGTTTGGGTATCTGGTCTTGGGTTACCTGTTGTGGGACCGAAGTGAGCGATCATGCATGATCCCACTTTGGATCCCAACGATTATTTCTTTTTATTTCGGACCAATTAAAAAAAAATTAATAGGATCAGAATTGGTACCCCGGGCCAACCGGGTCCGGGAATCGGTACCTGGGCCAACGAGTTTCGCAAAACCGGTCTGAAACCTTAAATAAACGGGTCAGGCCCAGGCTCCACTACCATTTGGCAAGGATCGGGCAGTCTCGGCCCGGAACTGGGACCGGACCGACCCGGGTCCGTGTCTTTACTCAATAGAACGAGATTCTATATATGTGTTTGTGACATTAATTTGTGTCAATATGTTTTCACTTTAAGTTAGTAGGTATATTAATCATTGTTATGATGACGTAGCTAGCTAGTTTTTCCATTACAGGAAGGACATATCTGGGGAGCCATCTCTTGAAAAGTTCTACAATGATGTAGTTAAATTACATGTGAGCATCGAAATGATTCAGCTATGTCGTTCTGTTTTATTATTTATTTAGCAGATTGGGGTTATATTAGGAAAATAGTAGTGGCAGAGCCACGAAAATGATTTAGAGGATCGGAACTTCCCCAAATACATAATAAAGAGTACATCATATTTAAGCAATATCTAAGTTGAATTTTTCATACGTAACTTAGATAAGAGTAGTTTAAATGAGACTAACATATAGAGACATAGAGTTATGAATTTGATATATATATATGTCATATTCATTATAGACTTCACATAGGTAATAAGTGAAATTACGTTATTTTTAAAATTTCAGAATATAATCATTATCCACATCAAACTTTACTTATTTAAAGTTTAGAGCATCTCCAATGCATTGAAGTTTAGAGCATCATTGAAGTTTCAGAATATATTCAAACTTCACTTAATTATGCCACATCATTAAACTAGACATTGACTTATTTTATCACCCTCCAATGCTAAAAATAAGTAAACACTGTGAAGCATCCTTGGCATCCTTTCTAAATTCGAACGTCCTTCCAAACTTGCTGACTTATAAAAAATAAGTATTGCATTAAGTATGCTCTTAGATGGTGCGTATTTTCCCGTAGTCATAACTTTTTACCCGTAATAAATTATGAGAGTCATAATATATCAAATCGAAAGTATTTGAATGCTCTATATTTCTCAAAATTTCGGGGCTCGAATGACCACCCTGCCCCCCCCCCCCCCCCCCATGGCTCCACACATGACACTCACACACACATGTGATCGATTTTCTTTGTATGTCAATATGTGTGATTATGTGCACTCTTGGCATATTGTTAAAAAATGTTGAATCCCCAATGCTAAGAGCTCTACAACTCCCGTCCCGATAGAGCATGCATATGAGGAAGTTGTAAATTACGATGTTTCAATCGGTCGTAATGATGAATTGATGATAGACCTTATATATACTTGAGCGTACCAGAGGTTCAGTCCAACACATAGAAGTTGCGATCCCATACAACAATTGCGGGGTTCGATTAGTGATCATTGCCCAAACGTTCTCGTCACTTTACCAACTGAGCTACCTCACTCTACCCGTGCGGGTTGTGCATTTGTGGCACATGGGTGTATTTTCCGTGACAAAAAAAATTAGTCCCGTAAAAGCTTGACTTACAAACTCAGAGATGACCATGAATAATGAATATCTCTCAAATGACTTTCTTTTATTCGTATTTACAAAAAACTGAGGTCAACTTCAAGCCTTCAACTCTGGAGGAAGTTTAATTTCCTTAGAAACTTGCATTTACATGAGGGAATTATTGAAATTTCGCGTTACTAATTAATTCATTGATGGCAAAATGGTGTTTACTTTTTCTTGTAAACGATTTTGTTCGGATGGCAAAATTCTTGCCGTTCATTTGGATTTTGTTTCAGGTTTCTGCGAATAATTTGCCCAAGTCATGCACCTCAAAGCTAAAGGCAAGCTTGGTAAGAAAAATGTTTACACAAATGCTAAATGTACCCATTTGGTACCTCATTTGTACCATATCCCCGATGTGTGGTTCACAAAAACACTGCATTAAAATGTACGAGTATCAATTAATTTAATGTGCTGAACTTTTGTGAATGTGAACCATACATTGAGTGAGGTACAAATGGGGTATCCCAAAATTGGGTACCTCAAATGTTTATATACGTACACCGACACATCTTTAAGTGCTGTACCCCGTGCGAATTTGTATATATTCTTTACAAATGACAATGGAAATGGTAAAAATGAGATCATACGATATTGGGATAAATGAGCTATATCTATAGATTACTACCTTATCCCGCTGAAAGATTTCTATTATAAAATGACACGATTGAATACGTAATATAATGGGATCAAACGTTTATGATAACTGTGATGTTATTGATACTTTATTTTTTATATTTGATAATTAATTTGTTATTCAAGAGTATTAATTATTTTCTATAATAGAAATCAGAAACTTTATATGAGACATCTAAAAAAGGAAAATAAAGACATTAGTCAGACGAGAGAGTACTAACTAATAAAATTAAATGGAATCTTTTGTTGTGGTTTAATTTAGCTTTTTTTTTAACTAAATAATTCGACCTTTTCTCATGAATATTACTAAATTAAATTAAAAAAAATAAAAATATGACTTAATTTAAAAAATTTCAAAAAAGTGACATTGCATATTTAGTGACTAGTTCACAGTGACTCATCATCTAAAGTGACTTGTCATTCTAAAATACACTATAGTTACTCGTACACAGTACCTAGTTATATTTTTTTCAAAAACATAACTAGTCATATTATTGTCTGGGAAAGCTCTATTACTTGTATACATGTCATTCTTTCATAAAATGTGTACATTTTGGTAGTTTGTATAATTATTGATGAGGGTAAATGTTAAAATAAATTTGCAGTGTTTCTTCCCACAGAATGTAGCTCCAGACATTACAACACCATTGTTCCTGATAAACGCAGCTTATGACACTTGGCAGGTTTGAATATATAATTGAAAAGTTGCACCTCCAACATTTGTTTGGGATTATTATGTTATGCTCCCTCCATCTCACAAACATCTTTGTTTTTGACTTTTTTAGTCATCTTCAAATTAGGCCAATCATATTCTTAATATTAAATTTTCCATGATATGTAAATGATATGTGAAAAGGGAAAACTGTCAAATAGGTCTTCGAACTTTCATAAAAAGGTCAATTAAGTCCTTCTATAGGAGGTTCTGTCCGGCCGTCGCGATTTGGCGCAGTTCCTGGTGGAATTTTTTGATGAATTTGTTTGAGCATCTTAGTCACCAAGTCTAGTTTACTCATACCAAATTTCAGCTAAAAATTCAATTGAGAACACATTCAAATTAATTCTTGAAGATAACTGTGCATTTTTGCGTTCTCGAATTAATTTGAATGCGCTCCTGATAAAAGTTTTAGTTGAAATTTGGTATGAGTAAACTAGACTTGATGAATAAGATGCTCAAAAAATTTCATCAAAAAATTCCACCAGGAACCGCCCCAATTCGCGACGACCGGACAGAGTCTCCTATAGAAGGACTTAATTGACTTTTTTATGAAAGTTCGAGGACCTATTTGACAGTTTTCCCTATGTGAAAATTTTCATAAAAGCATTTAATACTGTCTTTGTCTCATAAAAAAATTTGTGTCAACTATTTTCCGGTCAACATAAATTGTTCTTGATCATTTATTTTATATGATCAACTTTTATCAAAGGCTAAAGGGTTAAATAGACCCTTGTACCGGTTGTGTAAGTTCAATTCAGTCTCTGAACTAAAAAAGGTTCAATTCACACCCCGAACCGACAAAAAATAGTTTAAAATTCATTTTTTACGGATAAACAACCAATTTTTTTTACTGGTTTCTATTTTTATTTTTGATTTATTGCAATTTTGACACTTTTTAATAGTTTAAGGGGCGAATTGGATTTTTTTTACCGGTTGTTCAATCTTAAAAAAATGAAATTCAAACCCATTTTTTGTCGGTGCAGGGTGTGAATTGGACTTTTTTTTAGTTCAAATTTTACCATGTGGCCCATGTCCTATCAAGAAAGTCAAAGATGACACTCTTGTGTGACGGGAATACTATTTAAGGAGATTTCCCAAAATAGAAGTAAATGGAGTTCGGAATTCCGTAATGGAACTACTATATTTTTCGTTTCGAAATAGGACTAACATGACAGTATTTACTGTCATTTTGTAGGCATGACTGACAAATAGTTGCACTACTGTGCATTTAAAATGACAGTATTTATTTTACTTAATGACAATATTCAATCATGACAATATTTTTCATTTTTTCATATATGACAGGCAGTGGCGGAGCCACTCATGTTCAAAGTGTTTCTCATGAACACCCAAATGTTTTAAAAATATGTAGGTATATATACGTAAATTAGGTATAATTATTTATTGCTCTTTAAATTTGTAGTTGTAAAAAAGCATTGAACACCCAATATTCAAATTCCAAATCCGCCACTGATGACAGGAAGAACTCTTATTTCGAGAAGAAAAATATAGTAGTTCTATATTAGAATTCCAAACCTCATTTATTCCTATTTAGGGCAATTTCACTGCTATTTATTCACATATTAAACATTTTGAACAATAATTTTAATTGAAAAAACATAAAATACAGATCAGAAACGCCTTGATTCCAAGTGCAGCCGATCCATCAGGAAAGTGGAAAATGTGCAAGACTGATATACGCCATTGCTCTGTTAGCCAACTCAACACTATCCAAGGTTAATAATTCAAATCACATAAATGCTTCTAATGCTTATTTCATCAGTACTATGCATGCATATATTGATGATAGATCAGACACATTTGTTGCATATATGCATGCAGATTTCAGATCAGAGTTTTTAGCCGCTTTGAAGGGATTTAAGTATTCTCCAACGAGTGGAAGTGGCGGTGGGTACTTTATCAACTCTTGCTTTTTGCACTGCCAAACTGAATTACAAGAGCTCTGGAACATGCCTTCTTCTCCAATGTTACTTCAAAAGGTATATAATTGAAGACAAAACTACATTTTAGAACTGAAACATGCCGTTTTTGTATAAAAGCCATGAAAAGATTAAGAGTCCGTTAGGAGCAAAATAGTGTGATATCTCTCAAAATAAGAGTACTACTCCGTATTTTCTTAAAATACAAATAAATTACTGCTATATTTATATACTGGCATATTTTAACATTATCATAATACTAAGGAAAAATTGAAAATAATAATCTCAACTATTGCTGATCCGCTAACAATAATCTCAACTATTGGTTATTTTTGTATAATCCCAACTATTGGACCGTCCGCCAATAATGATCCATGACCGGATATTACCTGCTATAATAGGTGAATTTTTATAGAAATTAAGCGTAAAAATTAAAAGTTGGGATTATTTATAGGGATTACCTGCTATATCCCTTATCATCCACTTTAAAAACTATAGGAATTTATTTATAACCGGTCACGTCGGACCATTATTGGCGGAAGGTCCCTACAGTAGGGATTATTCTGAAATAATAATCGATAGTTAAGATTATTATGAGCGGATCGCTAATAGTTGAGATTATTACTATCAATTTTTCTTAATATTAATATGCCAGTATTAATGTCATGCATATTTGACAGTATTGCAAAATGACAGCAAATTCTGTAAAGATAAATTGTTACTATTACGTAGTACTCCGTATTACGTAATATAGAACTGTTGGTAGTATAGAACTGTTGGTAGTAAAATGTAGGGGTAATTTGAGTTTGCACCTCATATTATTGTCTAAATTGGACTTTGCACCCCGTTTTTAAAAAACTTTGTTTTTGCACCCCAACCCTATATGAAAAGACAAAAATGCCCCTCCATTGACAATTCAGTTGACCTTCAACATATTCCTGATTGAGGGCATTTTTGTCTTTTCATATGAGGTTAGGGTGCAAAAACAAAGATTTTTAACAATGGGGTGCAAAGTCCAATTTAGACAATAAAATAAGGTGCAAACTCAAATTATCCCTAAAATGTACATTGCATTACTCAACTGTTGAATTATATTGTTGGAGTGTTTTGATGAAGCAGACGATAGCGGAGGCGGCAGGAGATTGGTTTTTTGACAGAAAGATTTTTCGAAAGACAGATAGCCCTTATCCGGATGACAAGAGTTGTTTAAAGCCACAACTAGTTCCTTAATTCAATCTTGATTAATTGTTTCAGTATTCATTCAATTCGAAAATCAAGCATTCCAGCCTAGCTGGTTATGAGGTTACCGTCTAGAGGTCTCGAGTTCAAAACCCGTTAGGCACATAACTACATAAGGGTTTGAAACTCAATGAAATAAGTTTCAGCCCCAGATTACTTCAGGCCTCCCAACCCCCTCATTCAATTCGAAGTATACCTTACTTTAATTTAGGACCATTAATTATATACGTAGTAATTTTTTTTTTTGTGTAAGTGCACACATACAGAGTATATTATATACGGAGTATATTACTCCTATTTCTTTCAAAAAATATAGTGTCCTATTCATAAATTAAATATGAAATGATGATACTATTAATGAAAGTTAGCATAGCTTTTATTGTTTAGTAATTGCCGTAAGTAAGACCAAAAATAACTAAAAGAGCACAAATAGAACCATTACATTTTTTACCATCTAAAATAGGACTAAACAAATTCAGCATACCCAAAATGCCCCTAAGGGTATTATTTCATACTAACATGTAATAATTCATAATAAAATTTTAAAAAATAGTAAAAAATCGTAATTTTTATTTAAAAATCGTACAAAAATAATAATAAAAATAGAAACTAATTTTAAAATAAAAAAAAAATTTAATTTTTTGTAAATTATTAAAAAATAGTAATGCCAATTATGCCACTTTTTATATAAAAAAAATACATTTTTTCCCGAAAATGCTAAGAAAATGACATAATTACTCTTATAATGCCAAAAATCTCAATGAATCTGCCATTATTATGGCATTACTAGAATTGTTGGTAGATTTCTATTTTTGATTTTATTTTTGAAAAAATTAATAAAAAATAGTAAAAATCCATTATAATAAATAAAAAAATATGGATAAATGCGATTGGTACAGATTCTGCCATTATTTGGAAAAAATGCCATTGTTTTCTAAAAATGCCAAGAATATGGAATTTTTACTCATTATAATGCCAAAATTATCATTGATTCTGCCAACCGGTGATGGGAGGTGGTGGTGATGGAATTTTTACTCATCATAATTCCATTTTTTTTTTTCATTTTTGGTTTTTTAAATTTTTAAAAAACACTTTTTTTCAAATTTTTTTTATAAATATTTTACGAATTTTTTTAATAATTTTTGACGTTTTTTATTATTTTTTTACGTTTTTTATTATTTTTGTGAATTTATTATTAATTAAGACCTTTCAAAAGCCTCAAGGGCATATTTGTCCAAATACACATAAAATAGTCCTACTAGATGGAAGAAAAAAAATGTAGTCCTATTTATGCTCTTGACTCACTTTGTTGCCCTATATAGGGAATTGACTCTTTATTTTTTTGAAAATTATTTCTTTTCAAATAATATCAACAATTACTATTAATAACTTTTTCATATTATATTAACGTTTACTATTAATAATTTTTTCATATAATCTCTCCGAAATAAATGACTTTTAGAAATGGTCGATCACCACCATGGTTCAAATTCTAGCTTTGCTATACATTACTGATGGACCCCATATAAAGGTAACGGAGAGTCAGAAACAGGAGAACTACAAATATTTTTTACACTACAAAGTTACTCTCATTAATATTTTTTTACTTTTATAATATTCCCTCCCTCCCACTAACCATGGGACAAAAGGAAGTGACACCCAAATCTATAAAAATTGGTTTATGTGATTGATATTCAATTGATAAAGTAAGAATGATTTAGAGTCACACAAACTTTACCAAATAAGGTATGAGACAATCTTAGTGGGACAGACCGAAATGGTAAAATGGGACAATCTTAGCGGGACGGAGGTAGTAATACATAATAAAAAAGGGCCAAAAATGTATAGTTTTTCAACAAAATTGAAAATGGATTTAGAATTGGATAAACAATATGTGAAAAGTAATATATATATATATACACACACATTAAAATTATAAATAATATTGATAGATATTTTGAATATTTTACAAATTCTCCGTATATATTATTAGTATAATATAATAACAAGAATAAAGATTAAAAATAGTTATTATTATTACAAAGTTATTTGTGTTTAATAATAATAGTGTGTGGTTTAAGCTCTATATAATATCGAAGTAAATTATACCAAACGAACACATGTGACATGGCTAAGTTCGTATTCTGCTTGAGACTTCTTAGCGCCATCCAGGGTTCGAATCTCCTTGGAGGAGATTTTCTAAGGTTATGTTTGGCCCGGCAAGCTGAAAAGATCTTTATTAGACTTTTTAGTAGCTGCTAGCTTTTTTGAGCTGAAAAGCTTGCAGATGGAAAAGATTGTAGCTGTTTAATGAAAGTTGTCTGTTTCAAATAGGCATGTTTGGCAAAACTAGCTATTGTAAGTAGCTGAAATGATAAAATTACACTCAAGGGCATGATCAATTATTATTAATTAATAAGTCAAATCTTGATCAAACTTTAATAGTTTGAATTAAAAGTGATCAATTAAGCATAAATATTCATGTAATATTACAATAAAAGCGATCAATTAAGCGTAAATATTCCTGTTTATGATGCCAAACCTTGACACTCGTGAATCATAGAAGTAATCTTTTGTTTCTTTCAAGTTTCAAACGGAGAAGCTGTCAGATTCAATATTTTAGTACCCATTTCCACTTTGTGTAACCAGTAGATCGACACACAAAAGAAAACTGAAGGTAAAAGTAGCAAAATATTATGTGATAAAATCAATGAAAACCTAGTAAAAACGTTGCACAATTATTAATTACAACAAAAATTGAAGAAAAAACAGAATATAGATACTCAAAAAAATAAAGAAAAACCAGAGAAATAAAGACATAAAACCAGTAATAAAGCAAAATAATAATCAAAGTAAAAGAATACAACAAAATACGGCCATCGTGTTGAAGTATTGAACCAAAGAAGCAAGAAAAACTATTACCCTAAAAATCAAGAAGCACCTCTGCGAAAAACAGAGATGGGTGAAAGGGTTTAAGAAAGAGACCCAAAATAGTGAAGAGGCTGGAACGTAGTTGCAGATGGCAGACTTCGATAATCATGGTGAAAGCAAATTTGAAGTTTGGAGAACATGAAGGGGTGGGGCGCAAGGTTATACGAGGAAGGTGTAAAAAAAAGAAAAGATCTTCTTATTGAACGCTGCCCTCAGAAGCGTCTGATAAAAGATGATAAAAGATATCGGCTTCTCGAAAAAGTTAATGGACCAAACACACAACTTGAGTCTTTTAGGGACTTTTTAAATAATAGATAAGTTAGAAGCTACCAGCTTTTGTATGCCAAACATAGCCTAACTAAAAGTGAGAATAATGGAATACGTGGACTAAAGTAAAAAAAGAAAATGAAAACAAAATTAATATGGGAGAGAAAGAGGAAGTAATTACCAAAACACGGGAGTATTCGTTCTGACATTCCAAAACACGGGAGTTCCTTTTAGGTTACCAAATACCGTAAGTCGGAATTGGGCATTCCGACTGGAGATTAGGGTTACAAAAATCTGACACACAAGCCTGTCGGAATTGGGAAATCCGACAGGAGAGCCTTTAATAAAGCCAACTACCTAGTCGGAATTGGGGAATCCGACTAGGGTATTTTTTTTTTTTTAAAATACTACCTAGTCGGAATTGGGGAATCCGACTAGGGTATTTTTTTAAAAAAAAAGATGCCGCTATTTTAATTGGTACTCCATCCGTCCCCAATTAAATGTTCCATTTTACCATATTGAGATGTCCCTATTTAAATGTCTCATACCTCATTTGGTAAAGTTTGTGTGGCTCAAAATCATTCTTACTTTATTCCTACTTTATCAATTAATATCAACCACACAAACCCACTTTTCTTAAAATTCGTACCACCCTCTTCCGGGACTTTTAAAAGGGGACGGAGGGAGTATCTCCTAACTCTATAAAAACCATTCATTTCTTCTCAAAATTTACAAACACACTCCAAAAACACTTCTTTCTTTCTTAACATACCATTCCCTCATACCCACTTCTTTCTTTCTTCAACATACCATCCCCACATACCATATTCACTCAAAAACACTTTAATATATTCATTACTTTTTTGTTTACCACTCTCCTCTCATATTATATTTATAATATATACCATATATAAAAATGTCTAGTGAGGGTAATATTATTCTTATGGTTCATTGGAATGGCTCTACATCTCAAAAAGCTGATGAAATAGAGTACTCCATACCTCCTAGGGCTGTACTATTCATTAGTGAAGGAGATGATTATACTACTATACATGAAAATGTTCTCAATCATGTTAGACGCGACGGATTTTCCGAAATTAAATTAATTTACGGAAAATTGCCGAAATATAAGAATTCGGTATATGTTGCTTCTAGATTATGGCCCATTCATGATGAGCAAACATGGAGTCATTTTTTCCGGATCGCCACAAATGAGTATGAGGAGTTGCACATTTACGTGGAAGCTTCAGCGACCCCGCCACAAAATTTGACGTTCCACGGAACTGCTGGAGTGGAAGGCCCATCATCAAGTCGGAGGAACAACCGCCAATCGTTTCAGAACCAGGAAACTCCCGGTATGTATAGTTCTATTTAATTTAGTAATTTGTAAATGTTTTACTTTAGATTCTTAAATTGGAATTTTAGAGTTAAATGATTATATAGCTTAAATAAATATGATGGACAAATTAATAACCTATATTATATTTTTATTAAGTGCATAGCACTTTTGCAACTAATGTGAGAAGACGTAATATAAGCTCACTTGTGCAACCGTCTCTTTTTCATTCATTTAAATAACTTATTTAGGCTATTTGTTTAATTTATACAAATATATGACACATACTTAATTGCACATATTTAAAGTGGTATATACACCCAAATATTCCATATATATATCTTTAACTTATAATTTGCCTTAATTAGTTTTTTTAGGAACGTAGAAGTAGTAGATTTAGTAATTTGTAAATGTTTTTAAATTTATTTGTTAAATTTGAATTTTAGGGTTAAATTTAGCTATAAAATACTTGAAAGTTAGAAAGAGTGTTAAATTTAGAATTGAACTTAAATTTTGGTTTTAGGACTATAGACGTAGTTCATTTAGCAATTTGTAAATGTTTTCATTTAGATTGTTAAATTGTAATTTTAGAGTTAAATTTGACTATAAATTACTTGAAAGTTAGAAAATGTGTTAAATTGAGAATTTGCCTTAACTTTGCTTTTAGGAGTATAGTTAATTTAGTAATTTGTAATTTTGTTTTAAATTTTTATTTGAGAAATTGGAATTTTAATTTAGTGTATAATATTATTCTTAATTTAATATGTGTACAAATT